CACCTGCTGTGCAACCACAAGGACCTGAGTTCAATCCCTGGGACCAAAAAAAAAAAAAAAAGAAATGTAGGAGGGCCAGGGATTTAGCTCAGTGGCACTGCACCTGCCTCACAAGAGCAAGATTCTGAGTTCGATCTCTGGTACCAAAAAACCCAAAAAAACCCACAAGTAAATCCAGTCCCTGTTAACCTATCTTTGTCAAAAACAGAAATTCAAGGGCCAGGGATTTAGCTCAGAGGTTTCACTACCTGCTGCACAAGCACAAGGACCCAAGTTTGATCCTCAGTACCAAAAAAACAGAAATTCAAGACCATTGCTTTTCTTTCCTATTTTTTTTCTTTCCTTGATACAGGGTCTCACTATGTTGTCCGGGCTGGCCTTGAACTGGATTCAAGGGATCCTCTTGCCTCAGTCTCCCAAATAGCTGGGACTGCAAGTGCATACCACAATACCGAGCAATACTTGGTAAACCGAGGCAGGAGGATCCTGAGTTTAAGGCCAGCCTGGGCAGTATAGCAAAATGATATCTCAAAAATGATGAAGGAGGGGTTAGTTTTCTTTGTGAAGCAAGACCATTGCTTTGTATTTACTTACTACTTTAGTTTAGCTTTTTTGTGACAGAGTTTTGCTCTGTAGTCCAGGCTGGCCTTGAACTCACTGTGTAGCCCAGTCTACAGTCTCACTATGTAGTCAGTGTGCCCTTGAACTTGTGGTGATCCTCCTGTGTCAGCCTCCAAGCACTGGGATTACAGACATGTGCCACCATGCCTGGCAAAACCATTGCTTTTCTTTTTGGTAACGGGGATTGAACTCAGGACCTTGTGCTTGCCAGGCAGGCACTACGCCACTAAGCTAAATCCCCAGCCCTGTTGCTTTTTAATATAAGATGTTCACTGTAGTTTTCTCTAAAATTTCCTGGTGGATCAAAAACACCTACTTACTATATTATTATTATTGTAAAAGCCACTTTTCATGGGCCACTGTACTACAGATAATTCTTTGTATATTTGTTCTGTATATCTTTATTTGAATGCCAAAAATATTCAAACCATCCATATCAGATACTCTCAGTTTATTCACTCAATACACAGTGCTCACTTCGATTTTTTTTCTCTACAGGCTGGAAAGTGAAATACTCCAAATCTCAGCCTACCTCTTAGTTAGGGTGACTGTGCAGTGCATTCTGGGTAAGATCAATAAATACGTCTGATGGAAGGAGAAGGTAAAAAGCCCTTTGCTGTACCTCTTTTATCCTGCTCAGAAAAAAAAATTCTGCAGCTGAACTAGTCATTCTAGGTCTATGAAATAAATACATAAAGATGGAAATTGATTTGCTAAAAATAAAAGTGTAGGGCTAGGGATTTAGCTCAGTTGTGGAGCGCCTGCCTCACAAGCACAAGGTCCTGAGTTTGATCCCTGGTTCTGTTAAAAAAAATTTTTTTAAATAAAAATAAAAATAAAAATGAGAGTCTAAAAACAAAAAGAGCTTTGTTCTTTATGGTATTGTGAAGCAGCTGAACCAAATAAATGATGCCTACTCTGAACTTACATGAGACGCACTGTCCCCAAATTTGGGATTTTGGAGAAAAGTGTTGTCATCCTCTTCTGATAACTATTCTCCTTTTGAGAAACACCTTAGGGCTTGCTGCTGAGTGTAGTGGGGATTGAACACTTGACTGTAGGCCACTGACTTAGGATATAACCTGAGATGCCCACCACGAACTGAGTGCTGCCTGACTCATCCAGTCATACATTTAGGTATGCATGACAGCACTTTCTTTTCAGATGGAAAAGGCATATATGAGACCAGGATCCAGTATGTCTAGAAGACACAAGCAAATTTCATGAGCAAGAGCCCATATGTATATGGCCTCTATTTCTACTTCATTGTTTCTTTCTCCCAATCTCCATTATGGAATATTATATTTCAAAAAAAGCAATGGTGATATTTCTTGTCCCATGTGCTCTTCTGGGACCTAAACACTCTGTCATTCAGAAGTGAAGTTTATATACTCTACCCTTGAATCTATGCCTTGACCAAAAAAATGGGGGTAGAAATGATATTGTGTGACTCCCAAAGTTCTTGGGAGTCACTTTAGGACTCCAAAGTTCTCACTTTAGGAACCTCACCCAGATGAAATGAGAATACTCAAGCTGCCTGTGGCAAGGCCTACCTGGTGAGGAAACTGGTCCACAGTCTTGGATAAGTCTCAGCCAAATGCCAGCACTAATGTGGCAGACACCTGAATAAGTCAAATTGAAAGTCCCTCGATTAGACCCCAGTCAAGTTTCCCAGCTAACCCCACATGGCATAAAAATGTGCCATCCTTGCTGAGCCTTGCCCCAAAGTCATATTTGTGAATAAAATTCGGTACTGTTACTTTAAACTGCTAAATCTCAGAGTGGTTAGTTAACTATAGATAAATAATAAATCCATCTACGGCCCTGAAGGATAATGAGAAAGGACATCCTCTCAGTAGGCAAAACTATGAGCAGTATACATGGTTATGCATTCTGTCTAGAAGAAGATAACTAGGGAAACAGATCTACAGTGATTTGAAGGTGGTAACTGGCCAATAGTCAGAAACTTGGAAGAAGTGTGACTATAAAATTGCTGCCAAAGAAGTCTGAGGAATAGGTCTATATGGACAGATCTCTGAACGGGCACAGGTATGAAGGTATTTCATGTGACTGTTCAGCAATGAGAAACCTCAGCAGAGAAAAATCTTAATTGTCATATGGACAAGATGACCTGTTCTGTCTAATTCAGTCAGCTTCTTTCTCCTGTGGCCCCATCCTTATCTCAAAAACTCTTAGGAAAAGATGATCAAAGTGGCAGAAGTGGGAGATGTGCAAGGGCTTAGCAATGCAGACTTCCACATCCTAACCTGCCTACAGCAAAGATCAACAATGAGCTTCCAGTGTGCCCCCATTCCTCAGGGGAGTCAACCAGTCATATAGTGTTAGATTTTTTTCATTGAGTCACTTCCATATTGGAAGGGATACATTTTGTTTTGATTGGAACAGGCACTTCCTTTGTTTATAGATTTGTCTTCCCTGCCCCACAATGTTCCTGCCAAAACCACCCTCCAGGGACTTAGTGGACATTTTCAGTATCACAGGGTTCTGGGATACATTGCTTCTCACCAAAGAACCTACTTTGCAACAGATGAAGTGCAGCAATAGGTTCATGTCCACGGTTCCATGTTCACTATCACCCTGAAGCATCTGGATGCATTGCATGGTGGAATGGCCTTGTGAAGAGTCAGCTACATGCCCTGCTAGATGGTAATATCATGCTGGACTGGGGTAATGCCCTTCATGATGCAGCATATGCTGCAAATTGATTACCAATGTATAAATAGGATTCATGAAAAATCAAGGAATGAAAATAGGAATAGTGATTGTGGGAAGAGCCACTCCCATTTCCACTCCTACCTTTCCCTAATACGTTTTCTTTGCTTCCTACTGTCTTAACTTTGGGCTGTGCTGATCTAGAGGACTTAGCTTCCAGGGAAGCAACATTCCCACAGGGGTACATACCGATGCCTCCATTTAACTGGAAACTGACACTGTTGTCTGGCCAATGTGGACTCCTTGGGGACAATGGGAATTTTTACGCTGGCTAGGGTGATTGATCTTGACCATTGAAGAGAAATTTGGTTGTTAGTGCTCAATGGGACTGAGGAGGAATATATCTGGAAGGCAGTCATTTTCTTGGGATGCATCTTAGTTCTCTCATGTCCCATTATAAAACTTAAGGAGAAACTACAACTGAAAGATTTATAGGGTATCAAAGTGAAAAGTAACCCAAAAGATGGAACTCAGTATCCTTCTTTTGAAAGAAGATTAGTGTGCTTTTATTGTATGAGGGATAGTTTCCACATGTTACCTAGAAGGATAATTTTGCTGTTGCCTTTATGTGGAAGATTAATATAAATATGGTTGAGAGAAGTAGGATGAACAAAATAAATTTTGTACTTTGCTAGACAAGCTAAATGGGAACAATATCTGCAATTCTCTTTCCTTACCTCATAGGTTAAGGTTGGCCAAGAAAAATATCAGCATGAGATGTGAAAAATAAAAGTAAAACAATGGCTGCTGGGGCCTGAAGTTCAGTAAGGGCTCCAGGTGCTGCTTCAGCTCACTTATGTTGTCCCTGTCTGCTGGTTGCTCCTCTCTGGATCTTCCTCAGTCCCTCAGAGTCCTGTGCCAAAAACATGTAGCTCTGTGTCGAAGGGCACCAGCTTTTTCTGCAGGTTACCCAGGGCATCAAGGTTAGAGGCTTTGAGAAACAGACGTGGGGTTGCAAGTCTTCGTGGGTTCTATTTTGTCCTCAGTATTCCCTGATTCACACGGATCTTTTATTCCCAGCTTCCGAACATGGTGAACTATAGCAACTTCAGCCCATCAATCAGACACAAAACCATGCATAGACTTCATCATGATGCCCTTCATAGTCCCTAGCTAATGATTTCTCGCTTATCTTCTGTCTCTTTCCAGACTCTCAACAGCCCAGTTATCCTAGCCCTGCCTCTGACCCAATCCTGAGAATTTCAAACACACTTCTACTAAAAAATTATTTCTTATGTGAAATTTAAATTTACCTAAGTAACCTGTATCTTAGTTTGCTAAATCTGGCAGTCCTGATTGAGAAATAACAGACAACAAAGGGCACTAATCTTAACTGTATAGCTTGATGAATATTTTTATAGGTTTATACCCATGAAACTACCATCCACCTCAAGATACAGAATTCCAGCATCCCAGAAGGCTCTTCTGTATCAAGACCTCCTCTCAGAGATAAGTAATAATCTGGCTTCTTTCACCATATGTTAATTTTTTCCTGTGGCCTTGAGCTTCATACAAAGGTAAACATACAATGGATCTTCTTTTATGTCTAGCTCCTTTCACTCAATATTAATTTTGAAATTCTTCTGTTTGCCATAGTTTGGATCTGAAATGTCCCCTGAAAGCCCATGTTTTAAAGGCTTGGTCCTCAGTCCATGGCGCTGTTGGGACTATAGAGGTGAAGCCTAGTGGATCTTTAGTTCACTGCAAGTGTGGCTTTAAAGGGCACTGTGGGACTCTAGTCTCATCCTCTTTCTCCATTTTATGTCCTAGCCATGAGTTGAGTAATTTTGCCCCAAAACATATTCCCCACTGTGACGTGTCTCCTTGCCACAGGCACAATAACAACAGGGCCAACCAACCGTAGACTGAAATCACCAAAACTGTGAGCCAAAATGAACCTTTTTTCTTTATAAGTTGACTGACTCAGGTAATTTTTATGATAATATAAAGCTGATGACATAACTTTGTTCTGTCTCAGTGGTTTATTCTTTTTGTGTCAAGGTAAGCAGCTCATTAATGAAAGTTATTTATAAAAGAATTCCAGCTATTGAAATTAGGGCAGAATTGAAATTGGGCATGAGTAAGAATTACAGTAATCATCCATTTTGATCCTTCATAAAATGTAATCAGTCTAGGTCTTGATCTCTAGGAATATTCAAATCATTAGGTGATATGTTAGTGAGAATCTTTATAATAAAGAGATCCAAGGCCACTTGAATACACTGATAAACTTTATTTATTTTTATTGTTTTGCAAGAGTAAAAAGTGAACCCAGGGCTTTCACACTGAGCTACATCCTCAGCCCTATTTATTTACTGAGACAAGTTCACACAAGTTACTAAATTGGACAGGTTGAGCTGGATCTTGTGATCCTCCTGCCTCAGTCTACCAGAATGCAGGGATTACAGGGATGTCCCACCACCTCAACTAGTGATCCATTTTAGATTCTCTGAAATGGGATTTCAGACATCTTATATACCATGAAGTGATTCTTAGAAAGTACACAGTAACACCCAAGGATTCTCATTGCCAAAACAAAAGAAAAAACAGAATTTAAATCTATTGAAGTCTTGAGAATAACTACAAGTTTTCAGGAAAGATGGAGGAGAGTAGAACAAGATCAGTGGTATCAAAAGTAAGCTGGGCATGGTGGTACATGCCTGTAATCTCGGCACTCGGGAGGCTGAGGCAGGAGGATCCTGCAAATTTGAGGTCAGACTGGGCTACATAATGAGTTCAAGGCCAGCCTGAACTCCATAGCAACTCCTTGTCTCAAAAAAAAAAGTGGTATCAAGAGAGAGCAAACAACCAAATCCATAACTTGAAACATTTTACATTTTAAAAAATAACCTACCAGGTACACTGGTGCACATCTGTAATCCTAGCTACTCAGGAGGGAGGATCGCCAGTTCAAAGCAAGCCTGGGCATCTTAACAAGTCCTTATCTCAAAAGAACAATATAAAAAGTGCTAAGGCTCAGTGGTATGGCCCAAGGTTCCAGCCCTAGTACCACAAACAAACAAACAACACAACCTGAATTTTGCAATAAATCAAAGCACAAAATAATATAAAATGAAAAGAAAGGTCAGGGCTGTGTTAAATAAAAGAGATTTATCATATCAAATAACCAAATATACAGACCTTGTTGGATTCTGACTCAAGCCAAATATAGAGCAACATCTTTTAATATTGACTAGTGTTGGATACTTCACAACCAGTTGAAGAAATGAGATTTGTGATCACAAATAGTATGCAAAATACACTCCCCTGCCACCTATATTTATACAGAATAAATATGGATATTAACATAGAATGGTAATATAGTTTATCATTTGCTATATAACCAACATGGTATCAACCATGTGATTACACAAGGAAAGGAATGAACATCATTCAGAGATGGATGCAGTGGGATTTGCTTTGCCCTTTTGGAATAATCAGATTTTTTTTGTATAAGGTCCATTAGAAGAGTATGTCGGGTTTTCTCATGATGTTTATTTGGAAGATTTACTGGCAGAAGGCTATATAGGGTTTCTGCATTACCAAAGGGATAGACTGTGGCAGATGCTTCAGACTGGCTCTTTCAGCTGCATTCCAACCACTTTGTATCCTGTCTTACTGCCTGCTAAAAGCTGGAAAGCAAAAATTACATTTCCCAGACTTTCAAAGAAATGGAATTTTTCAGATGACATATATTCCATCTAGCAGTGTGTTTAAATGAAATTTGGAAAATGAAAATTGGAATTAGGTGGTAGATGCCATAATTATGTTGATTCTGCTGCTTCTGCTACCAATGAGGTCATAGGAGCACCTGGAAACTCCAGGGCATTTGTAGTAGAAGATCCAGGGTCCAATTCTTGTTCCATGGGGGTTAAAAGGTATCTATTCAAATAGCATGAATCATGACAGAGGCCCTGTGAGCCTGGAGCTTGTAATTGCGATGGCAACTTTCTCATTCCCTGGCTTCCAGACTGAGGCAGAGGTGGCTCCTTCAGTAAATTGATGCTGCAATGTGTCTCTGAGACCCATTTCTGGGAGCTTGATCAGGTCCTCCAAATCATCTAATGATTTTCTAATAACAGGTAATAAATCTGCTTCCAGCTAAAATGGATTCTGTAATTTGCAGTGGAACACTGTGCAATGCAATTGGTAATACTCATACTTGAGAAAGGATCAAAGAAACAGGACCTTTTACATCCCACTGTTTGGAATATAAATTGATCCATCTTCATAATAATGTTGCTCATGTCTTTAAAATTCTTTTCTTTTTTTTGATACCGGGAATCAAACTTGGGACCTTGTGCTTGCAAGGCAGGCAGCAAAACCACTGAGCTAAATCCCCAGCCCTATAAAATTCTTAACCATTAATCCTGCAATTTACTTCTAGAGATGTCCTAAGGAAATAATCAGAAATGCACCCAAAGGTTTATCATATAATGACAATATCTGGTAGTTGTTAAAAGTAATATTTCCAACTATGATAAATGATATGGGGAAATATTCATGTCATGTTAAACAAAGAAAGTAGTCTACATACATAAATAGTTCAGTATTATGGATGAAATGACATGGTGCTTCAGATGTGTTTTAAGATACTTCAGAGTCTGGGCATGGTGGTGAGCACCTATTATACCAACATTCTGGGATATTGAGGCAGGATCATAAGTTTGAACTCATACTGGCAATGTAGTGACTTAGTGAGATCCTGTCTCAAAATGAAAACTGAAAAATGCTGGGGATGTAGCTCAATGCAAAGGCCCTGGGTTCAATCCCAGGTACCCTCCCACACACAGATACTTCAGGAGAAAGGGGTAAGAAGAGATAAATGAAATACAATTGACAAAATGTTAATAATTATTAAAGCCAAGTGTTAGGCATCTGGAGATTCATTATACTTATCTCCCTACTTTTTATATATGTTTGAAATTTTACATAATGTAAAGATTTAAGTTTTTAATAAGAAAACAGAAAATAAACTGTGCATAATATGTGTCCAGTTTTGTAATAATATTGATATACACACATACTTAGAAAAAAGACTTAAAATACATCAAACTGAAAAGATTAGTGATTTCCATGATTAGAGGTGAGAGTAGGATGAAGATAAAAGGCATAGATAATTTTTTAAAACAATGAAACTACAGCACTCGAAACAATTTTAAGCAATATCCTAGAAAAAGACAATGAAGGTCACAACTCCATGAGGCCCAGCAGAGAGAAGGCAACACACAAGGGAAGACACTAAAGCAAAAGGGGGGAAAATAAGAAATAAAAGAGCCAACAA